CACAATGGGGAGATGCAAGGACTGACACCATCAAGGACCCCCCAAATGTCCCATGAGTCACAGGGTGACATCATTCCATTGTGAAACTCCCCGCCCTGGGGGAGGTACTGAGCATTCCCTGCTGAACCTGAGCATATAAAGCCTTTGGGCTCTGGAACTTCAGACACTTCTCAACAGATCTGGAGGAGAAGCAGAACTTCAACGGGACTGTGGCCACTGCTTTCCACCAGACAGTGACTATCACTTTGACAAGATTGTGACCACCACTCTGACCATCAGGTTTTGTTTCTTTCCTTTTGCTTTTCGTGCAGAGGGGCCACATGGTGCACAGCACAGGAACTAATGAACATTCTTCTGTTCCTGTCCCAGGTTACCTGGCTCCACTGTGCCTTTTTGGGTTAATCAATGTCATTGTATTTCTTATAACCTCTTTGGTGAATTGTAACTCCCGCCTTTAATCTCTCATGGGGACATTAAATGGGGTTCATTTCTCTGCCAGTGTAAGCCAGCACAGTGTTTTAGAGGTTTTACAGTCATGATACACATGGTAACTTCTAGAGATGGAGTTGGGCAAGAGTAACCCCCAACCCAGCATGCTAACACCTTGTTTTACCCTCTAAACCAGGATTTCCCATTCCCAGACGTGTGCTGGATGGAGGAGAGGGCTGCGAAGAAGAGGAAGATGTCCGAGGGCACCCAGGAAGGTGAGGAAGAAGTGATCGCTCCTTTTCCCTCTCCTCCATCACTCCTGGCTGCAGGACAACCCCACTGCCGACGCCATCCTGCCGGTGATGGACTGGGGAGATCTCCTTCCCCTTCCCTGTGGCACGGAGGCAAATCCCATCCTCTCCATGTCCTTCCTGCCCCAGACAATGAGCTGAGGATGGAGACAAAGGAGGACAAATCCACCAGCAGAATCTCGTGGAAGAGGCTGTTTTGACAGACTGTACAGTGCCGGAAACTAATGAGAAGGAAAAGCCCCAGATATCCCACAAAAAGAGGGGCTCCAAACCCAGTCCAGAGTGCTCTGAGGGGGAAAGACCCACCCTGTGCCAGGAAGGCACTGAGAGCTTCAACCGGGGCTTGGAGCTTGGGGTCCATGAGCAGCTTCACGCTGGGGAGAAGCCCTACAAGTGCTTGGAGTGTGGGAAGAGCTTCAGAGACAGCTTTGCGGTGATCTGCCACCAGCGCATCCACACCGGAGAGAGGCCCTATGAGTGTGGGGAGTGTGGGAAGAAGTTCAGACAGAGCTCCCACCTCATTGTCCACAGGAGGATCCACACTGGGGAACAGCCCTACGAGTGTGGGGAATGGGGAAGGCCTTCAGAGACAGGTCCAACCTGGTCATTCACCAGCGGATCCACACTGGGGAGAGGAGCTACGAGTGTGGGGAGTGTGGGAAGAGGTTTCTGACCAGCTCCAATCTCCTCCTGCATCAACGCATTCACATGGATGAGAAGCCCTTTCGCTGCCCCGACTGCGGGAAGGGCTTCAAGCAAAACTCCATCCTCATCACCCACCAGCGCATCCACACTGGGGAGAGGCCCTACCAGTGTCCTGATTGTGGGAAGAGCTTCTACTGCAGCTCTGGCTTGACTGAACACAAACGGAGGCACCGGTAAGGGAAACCCTGTGAGTGCCCAGAGTGCAGGAAGAGCTTTGTCTCCTGCTCCAATTTCATCACCTAAAGCCTCACCACTTCATTGCTATTTGGGGAGGAAATTTGTTGTTTGGGAGATATTCTGAAGGATGTGGTGGTTCTGGAGCATTTAGTGCAGTTTTCTCCATCATTTTGTGTTTAAAAAGCCAAGGGGGAATGATCTATCACCTCAAAACCACTCAATTCCACAGGAAAATACTCAATCTTACACCAAAATGGCTCAATTTCAGCCCAAAATGACTCAGTATCACAGCCGTTCAGGGTGCATGTGGTTGGAAGGGGATTGAGTGAAGGGGGATGGGAATCAGGAGGGNAACATCTCCTGGGGACACCCCGTGGACATCCCCCAGAGATGTTTTTGTCTCAGCTTTGGAGCCCTGCAAGATCCAAACAGCTCCCAAAAAACACTGTGCTGATTTGAAAGTAAATAAGCAGGAGAAATTAACCTGACTCAACTACCCCWAGAGAGATTACAGGTCGAGGTCACAGTTCACTGGAGATAATAATAAATACAACAGTAGAGAGAAAACTGGGTTTAACTACAAAGGTTGAGTWGTACCTGTCTCCCTGTTGGTCAAAGCGATGGTCGAGATCCTGCCAAGTGCCAGTCCTTCACAGTCCCGTTGAAGTGGTGCTCCTGTGGAAGTTCTGCTCCTCCTCTGGATCTGTTGTGTAGTGCCTGAAGTCCCCAGGCCCAAAAGCTTTATATGCTCAGGTTCAGCAGGGAATGCTCAATACCTCCCCCAGGGCGGGGAGTTTCACAATGGAATGATGTCACCCTGGGACTCATGGGACATTTTGGGGGTCCTTGATGGTGTCAGTCCTTGCATGTCCCCATTGTGTTGGTGCCATTGAGTCCATGATGGCCCATTAGCAGAGGTGACCCCTCAGGCTGGGTGGGACTGTGCTGGTGCTCCCCTGGAGGGAGTTATCACAGCTGAGTGTGGGGTGTGAAGAAAAGGAAACAATGCCCTGCCTGGAAGGGTTTGTCTCCCCTTCCTTATCTCATTTAACACCCAGCTCATAGCCTGAGGGCTCAGGGGTGCACTGGGCAGCTCCTGCAAATGACCCATCATTAGCAGCCCATCAGAAATGCCCTAATGGGTGTAGAATGCCCAGTTTGGTTACACCCACGGAGTGCTGAACTGGAAATTTTTTGTTTGGGAGATATTCTGAAGGATGTGGCGGTTCTGGGGCATTTAGTGCAGTTTTCTCCATCATTTTGTGTTTAAAAAGCCAAGGGGGATTGATCTATCACCTCAAAACCACTCAATTCCACAGGAAAATACTCAATCTTACACCAAAATGGCTCAATTTCAGCCCAAAACGACTCAGTATCACAGCC